TTATGAATATTTTTCTATAATTTTTAAAACCCAATATGATTTATATGAATTTATTTTGAAAATTTGATTAAATTAAATACTTTATTAATATTTTATTTTATATATATATCCTAAACCACTAATAAGTTTTTTTAAAAAACTTTTTAAATTTTCCTCTCTCATGCAATCAGATAACAAAGAGCTTTTAGGAAAAAGATAAGAGAAATTTGAGGAGAGAGAAAGAAAAAACTTTGATTTGAATGTCGCGGAGCAATTTGTGTCCGTCGAGCCTATTAAAACAATTGCTTGTCTCCCTCTAATGAACCTTTAACCTATTTTTGATTTCAAAGGTTTTTTGTTTTGGATATTTTTCTTATCAAATTTATGTTTTTATTATAAAAAAATGTGAATAATTTTGTATTGGTAAAAGATTCACCGTGTAACTTTTTTGTATGTTATAGAGATTGATATTATGAATATTTTGAGTATTTATTTGATATTTTTCACTGAGTGATTTTAAAAATATAACAATGTTTTCCTGCTCAAAAAATTATTTTGAAGTCCAAAATAGCGATTTAGTTCAATTAAAACTTTAGAATGTTTTTTTAAGTAATTTTTGGTAATTTGGTTAAATTTTGAAAATGTGAAGTTTTGTTTAGTATGATTCTTGTTGTCTACCAATATGACATTTTGGCATTTTCTAAATTAAGTTTAATTATGCTTTTTTGTGCAATGCATTGAAAATAAATGTGGATATATTATTGTATTATGATAATAATGTGTCTGTAAAAGATAAGTAAAAACTAGTTGATCCATTGGTTAGAGACTAATTGACCTGTACAAGATGGTGGGCCTATAAGCTTTTCTTTAAATACTGTGATTTTGTGTTATCCTCTACTGATTTATGTGATACTGATTGGGACTTATAAGGAAATGTTTACTGTGTCAATGAGCAAAGAGTGAGGACTCTATTCACTGAGCTAATGGTTTATTAATACTGATATAATATTGAAAAAATCATGATAGTTAGGACATATTAATTGTCTAGTGTGGCTATTGAAATGCATGTTCTTGAGTCATTATTCATATTATTATATGAATTTATTATTACTACACAGCTTTGCTGTTATTGTATTATTCTACTGCTCTTATTAATGGATTGCTATTATTACCAATTTAGATACAATTATTATTTGATACTACTAATTCACTATATTGATAGTAATCATGTGATATGTTGAGCACATGATATATGATTTATTGAGCATATGATCGAGATATTGAGCTTGTGAATGAGATACTGATTTAATGCTGATATAAAATAATTAGATATCATGTGCACACTCTTGTATAATATTACTACATTGACATAATTATTTTGATAATCTATATCGATATTTTGATTTGATACTTTATATAATTTATATATTGATTGGTATTACGGATACGACGATTACTTTATAGATTTGACACTCCTACTGATTTATTATTTTACTACTTTCATATTATAGTGTTTTACTATTTATAGATTATAATATACTACATGTAAATTTTACTATTTCTTCAATGATTCAATGATCATATGAATGTAACTGCTATGTATGACTGTTGACATGCATATTACTCCTTTGTCATGCTTTAATTTTAGTTGTAAGTTTTGGTGACCTTCTGGGCTTTTTAAGATCATTATATCTGGTTAAATGATTTCAGGTCAGGGTATGGGAGCAGGAGTGTGAGGCTTGTCTGGGTTCTTCAGGTTCTATTAGGTTATATTTCTTTTTGTTCTAGTTATTATTTTTGTACTCAGGACAAAGTAGCTGTGATATGATTGTGTAGATCTCGTGTAGTGTATATGATTTTACATATGCGTCATTATTTGTAATGATTTTACATATGCATCATTATATTACGTTAATGATAATATTCAACATCTTGTATACATGTTAATTGTGCAAAGCCCTATATATGCATTTGTGATCATATGGAAAATGTTATGATATGAGAGATTGATAAATTGCATTGTGAATTATGTTATAAAAGCCCAATGTTTTTGTTATGCTCTAGTTCTGACTTTAACCCCATTTGTCTTAGATAGATATGGGAGATTATTTCTAGCCCCACCCTATCTATTTTATATAAGTGTGGGAGGTTCAAGGGAAATATAAGTTAAAGTAGAGTAATAAGGAGATTTGGAATGGTCTCCTTTACCTAGTGGAGTTTGCCTGCGAGAGTCATGAGTGAAAGTATAGCTATAAGTAGCATCGACGCATGCATATCACTCTACATACAATTGTATATTTTGTTAAATAAAATAAGTTGAATATAAAAAGATGTTCTAGTAAACATAATATGTTAAATTATAAAATAATGTTCTAAAATCAAGTTTACTTTGTCATTTGTATACAAGCAAGCCACGAGGCTCCTGGGAAAATGTGAATGAAAATAAGTACTCTATTCTATTTTGGAAATTAGTACACTCTGATATCTATATGAAAGTATAAGAAAAAAAAATCTATAAAATGTAAATCATGATATGTATATATAGTTGTTTTATGTTTACTTGAAATTGATATTTAAACCCTTCTATTTATAAATTGCAAACTTTTGTATTGAATTCTGAAATAGGATTTGGGTGTGCCTACTGAGTTGTGAATACTCACTATATTGTCTTTTATAATTTTAAGGAAGGGAAACAGCCTAGAGAAATGAAATCGTAGAGTATGGATCTATTAGAAGTCTTTTATTAGTGTATTTTTATAACCTAGTTCTCATTTTGATGATAGAACATACTTGTATTGAATTATTTGTAAATCATTCTTTTGGAAAAGAAATTTTGAATGTAACCTTAATATTTGAGTTATTTTGGATTACTTATATGGCTTTAGTGTATCCTATTATGGTTGAGCAATTTAGGTTTAGAAATTCATTTCTTCATTAGATTATGGGGTGACTGGAAAGACTGTGGTCAAAGAGCAACGGAGGCCAAAAATATCATGGTTTGTCGATTGAGGTCAAAAGATTACAGTCGCGCGTGCTATAGAAGTCAAAAATGATTATAGTCAGGCGACAATGGTCGAAGGCTTAAATTCACTTGATGAAGGTTTGAGGACAGTGGTTGAGTGATGGTGGTCTATATATCATAATTGGGAGATGATTGTTAGAGGACTAAACTCGGGAAATGGTGGTTGGAGGACTGTAGTCGAGCGATAGTGCTCTGAAGATTGTTGTTTGGGGGTGACAAAGATCAAAGGAATGTAGCAGGCAGATAATGGAGATCTAAAGGATTGTAATTGGGTGATGGTGGTTAGATGACCATAGATAGTGAGTAAAAGAGGTTGGAAGCACAGTAGTCTAGTGCTTATGGTTGGAGAACCATAATTGGGCGATGGTGGTTGATGGGGTCATAGTCTAAAAAAAGAGATCGATGGGGCCTTAGTCGGGTAACAGGTGTGGTCGTATTTAAACAATATTGATTGGAGGGACTGCAGTCGAGTGATAATGGTCGAAGGGATTGCAGTCATGCGATAATGGTCCGAGGGAGGCGATTGGCCGATGAATGGTACAACAATGGAGGTCATGTGACAAAGGTCCAACGACATCTATTAACTTATGAAAGACTGATGACTATGATCGTTAAGCAAAAGTCTAATGGTGGTAGCCTAGCGAAGTCCTAGTAGCTAAGGTTGGTAAGCAAAAGTTCGACGATGGTGGTTAAGCAGAGGCTACTAAGCGGTGATCATGATGTGGTGGTTGGCCAATGAAAGTTTGAAGAAGATGGCTAGGTAAAGTTTCAGTAGATGCCATGAAAAGGTCCTACAACTATGACAGAGCAATGAGGGTTTGTTGGCGGTGGTGCTCAAGTGACACTTCGATATCCTTTGAGCCCTATAGCACCCTAGCCAAGGATCTAAACATCCCTCCATATATAGAGTGGGAATATATTTATAAATTTTTTAAGAGTGTAATGCCCTACAAATATGAAGAAAGTCTGAAGCAAATCTAGAGTGCTCCATCGAACAACCTATATTGATTCCTTCATTAATAGATCATTTTTTAGCATTTGTGTGCCTAAATGGTGTAAAAATCAAGCAATCTTTGGCTCGTTGGATTTGTCTCGTAGAGCAGCTCGATTTGACTATAAGAACATCGTATTTAAAGAACATATGGAAATCCAATTAATATTTTAAAATTTTCAATTTTTCTTTGAGCCTTTAATTTAGGCTTATTCAAACTTAACTCAGACCATTTTTAGTGTCATTAAGCTCATGTCATCAAGAAATTCAATTTGATTATAAATTTACTAAAATAAAAGTTAAAAAGACCATAATTTAATTTTAAAAATTTTCAATTCAAATGTGCCTCAAGATCCGTGTTTGATAAAGATAATTTTTATGAGTATCAATTATAATTCCTAGTTTTACATATTTTTGAGAGAATTTCAAGCCAAAAAAAAAAAAACAAAGTGCCAAAAATGGTTATCACCCAAAATAAATGAATTTTATTTAATGAATATCAGAACTCTTATCAAACCAATCAAAATGTATAATGTTTATTTATTCACATAATTGAACCCAAAAAAAAAAAAAACTCATCATATATATACATAAATTTGAACACTAATTATTTATATAAATTCTTGAACACTCTTTTATTATTTAACAAATAATTCCCTATAAATAGGATAAAACTAATTTAACCATAGCTTAATTTTTTTTATTTAACGACTTATTATAGATCAATGCATTTTATATATTTTAAAATTTTGGTTAAACTCCATAATTTACAAGAAAACATTAAAATTGATAAAATAATCAAAATAATTGAAATGGAAACTCTTGTTGAGTCACAATTGAGAACCAAAATCGAGTTTCAACATCTTGAGATAACGTATAAAGGCAAATTTAGGTTTCATTTGGAACGCCTTTTTTATTATTTTTTAAAGTAATTTTTTAATAAATAATTTTTTAATTTAAAAAATTTTATATTAACGAGCTGCTTATAAAAAAGCAGTAAAAAAATCATCCCCAAATAAAGCATTAGAAAAAATATTATCAAGATGATCCTGCTCAGAAATATGCACTAAACACAGTTTTAATAATTACATGCTAGCCACCATAAAGAGCAGCGTTGGAAGAAATTGGATTATAGAAAAGAACAAATGATTCACAGTACTTAAGCAGGACATCCAGATTTCAGTTTCCTTCACTGTGCTGTTGTTTGCGAAATAAGCCTGACTTCATACAGATCGTTACCCTCTCCTTCTCCTACAAGAGCAAAATTTAGTGGCAGAATATGAACAAATCAGGTAAATAGCATAAAAAAATATATTATAAAAATTATCTGAAAATGACAAGATGACCTATCTCAGCAGTGATTCCTGGCCCAAAGAATGATGCAAACTTCGCCTGAAAATCAGTAATAGAAATTGCTTCTTTCAGTGTTAAAACTGTAGAAGAATGCTAATAAAAAACAACAATAATGCTTCGGGTCTTCATAATAATTATAAAATAAACAAGTTTAAAACAATACACATCAATGTGATGATGATGATTGGTTTGTGTTTTGCGATTTAGGCTTCATTTGAGATAATTTTTTTGCTGCTTTTTAAAATTTCTTTTTTAGTTGAAAATTTTGTACTAGAAAGTCGATTTAGATTTTAGAAGGCAGTAAGAAAACTATTCCAAATAAAGCCTTAGTCAAGAACTAATTCGGTGCCTTTATATGCTACTGCAGTATAACAAGTTCAAAATCCACACCTGTCTTTGTTCGAAATCTGACAATTGCAAAGCTTTTGCTTCAAACACAAGAACTAAACAGTATTTCTCATCTTCGACAACCTACGAGCGAGACATTAAGGAATCAAACAAGATATCAAATACAAAACAGGCTGAAAAGCAATAGGCCTGCCCTGAAAACTTAAAACTTCAATTAACAATGAGCTCACTTCTTCGCGAATCATCTTGAGAATTGGTCCACTGCGCCTTGAAATCCCACCGCCCTGAAAATCATGCAGAAGGTACATATAGAAGAAAAATATGGATGAAAGGCATCACCACGGATTGCAACAAAGTCATACAACGTACCAAACCATACTGAAAAATTCTTTTTAGAGCCTCATCTAAGTGTTGCTCGTCCCCATAACGGAATCGTGTAACATCGTCCCTAACCTGAAGAAAAAAGGGCCCAATATCTAAATAATAAAAGCATAATTAAAAACAAACTATTTGGGATTAAATTTAGAAATCCTTATTTTTCATTTAACACTGTTGAACAATGAAGAATGATAATGCCAGATAAGTAAAGAAGGAATATCATGATTCCTACTTTTAAGAAAAAAGTTTATGCACAAGAATGCACAAATTATAGAGAAGTTAAATTAATGTGTCGTACATCAAAATTTATGGGAGGGAATAATGGAGTATAGGTTATAATGAGATACAAATGTTACTCAAAATCAATTTGGATTCATACTGGCTAGGTCTACTATGGAAGTTATACATTTGATGTAGAAGTATAGGGAGAGTTAAGGAGGATATACATATGATATTAATTGATTTAAAGAAAGCATATGATAAGATTCTAACATAAGTGTTCTGAAGAGTTCTAGAAAACAAAGTAGATAATGCTTATATTTAAGTCCTTTAAGGATATATATACAGGAGCTGTTACTTTTGTTCAAACATAAGATAGTTTCACTATGTAATTTTCTATTTCAATTGGATTACATATAGAATTAGCTTTAAGCCCATATTCTTTTGCTTTAGGCATGGTTGTTCTTACAAGCATATGCAAGCAGATGTATCTTGGTGTATGCTTTTTGCTGATGATATTCTTCTTATTAATAAGACTAGAGAGGGAGGAAAATTTTGAATTATGGAGGTCAATTTTAAAGTCTAAATATTTTCATTTGAGTAGATCAAAAATTAAATACAAGGAGTGTAATTTTAGCAGTAATATATTTATTAGTGAGATTATAACATTTGGTGATCGAGACATTAAAAAGAGTGCATATTTTAAATATCATAGATCTAATGTTCAGGGTGATGGTGAAATAGATGAAAATATTATTATTAGAATTTAGGTTGAACGGTTGAAATAAAGGAATGCACCAGGCATGTTTTGTGATAGAAATGTACCCCCTCAAACTTAAGGGAAAATATAATAAGATGGTGGTGAGACTTGCAACATTTTATGATGTTAAATGTTGGCCATTAAAAGAGAAGCATAAAATTAAGTGTTTAAGAGAAGAGTATGCTTAGTTAGATTAGTGGCATTACATTTAGAGATAGAAATAGAGACAAGTATATATATGAAAAGGTTGGAGTAGCTCTAGAGGAAGTTAAGATTAGAAAGAGTCTCCTTAGATAGTTTGATCACATAAAATGACGGCTTTTTGATGACCCTAATAGAAGAGTAGATGTATTAGATCCGGCTTATGTTATTAAAGGTAGAGAGAGACCAAAAAAAAAAAAAAAACTTGGTTAAAAAAAAAAAAAAACTTGGTTAGAAAGTATCAAAATTACCTTATGTTATTAGATTTAAAGGAGAATTTGACTCTTAATAGGATATAATGAAGAAAAAAGATTTATGAAATAGAACCTCCAAAGTTGAATAAAGCTTATTGTTGTTGTTGTTGTTGTACTGTTGAATGCTGAATAACTTGTTAAATTTATCTTGCATGCATTTTTTTTTGCACAAATTTCATACTTATCACCTTTGATCTACTCTTTAAATTAAAAAAAATCCAAATTTAATAATCCAATATTCTAAAGCATATTAAAAAAAATATTCAAGAATCGATTACTATGAATGGATAACATAATATAATGAGAAGAAATCAACTTAAGTCAAAAAATTTGAAGGCCAAAAACAGTGATGTTTAAGTGATCGTAAGAGATCTCCCAACATTTCTATACAAAATTTTGGTCAAGAAATTAATTTTAGAAAACATATTAAATAGTAAATTTCATTTCCTCATTTGAGGGCTTTCACATTGAAGGTTCATGGTTTCCCTATGGTTAATTCTCCTTTATTGTCATAGGAGAGAACATAAGATTAAGGGTTGTAGCAAAATGAAGACTACCTATTCATGATTCATGGCAACATGGGAGCTTGTCATGAGTTAAGTGATGGACCGGCTGATTTAATTGAGAGGTAATTAGGAAGTTTCCTAACCAAGAGAGAGTTGTTTAGGATGATTTTTAATCAAAGGGTAATGGTTTATGAAAGTTTTTGTCATGACCAGCCCGAATGCTCGATCTAACGAGGTGGGAACGACAAGTCAGACGATAATAACATTTCATTCCATTTAATAGCACATTAACATAAAGCTTTTCAACAACAAAAGAGCCACTACCCTCAAGAAAACTCTAATCAATCTAAAAACTAAGCATTCACATCAGTCATAATTTATCTGTTTTCAATGTTGCGCCGTCTTCTATAAACGTATTCTTTTCTTTCAGCAATTTCTTCTTTTTTGGAAATTTACCTGAAACATTAATTTAGTGGATTGAGCTTACAGTGTAAACTCAGTGGGTAATCATTATCATGTATAAAATACTATAGAACCAATTTCTGATGTAAGTCTATTCATTTAACAAGTGGCATACATTTCTTTTCTTTATTCATTCTATTTCATCCAGTCGTTATATATCTCATAAGATGTTCATTTAAATACATAAAACACTTTACTTTAACATATATTTATTTTCCCATTTAATTAAGACAGAAGCATCGTCTAAATGTACCAAATGTACAATCATTTTCATTTCCTTTTCCCCTTTCCTTTTCAATTTCAATTTAACGTGCACGGGTACATTACTTCCCCAACCAGTATCATACGGGGGTGACTCCTCCAATTTACATGCATATCCTTTTCCCTTTTATCATTCATAAATTTATGCTTTTTATTTATACTATAAAAAATGTCATTTTTGTTCTCATTCTTTCTTCACTTTCATTTACTTTACATATATATATATGTATATGTGTGTATATATTTCTTATGAATCGCTAAGAATAAAAATAGTTTCTTATCATTTGATGGGCTCTTTATGAATATTGTCAAAATATGAATAATTTATGATAACATGACAAGATAAGTAAAATTATTACTTAGAAAAATTTAACTAGAAATTTAACGATAAATAGAAGTGCAACAATTAAATGTCTAAACACAATAATTACCCAGAAGGTTTTGGCTTCAATACTTTCCAACTTTCAACTCCAGCGACTATCTTTCTTACTACAATTCCGATCTACCAAAAAATTCTCTTATTAGTGTCGATACTTCAACTCGCACACAAGGTTAGTCAAATTCTTTCTAATCCAATCGATATTAGCATTAAGAATTTCTCCAAAATATATAAGACATAAAATTCTTCACTCGTATCGTTTACCTCAAAGGACATTTATTTCTTGCTGAGTCGGACTCCCTCCAATTTTTGATTTCTTCCTTTCCCTTCTAAAATTGCCATAAAATAAATTTTAATAATTTTATTCTACAAAATCTAACAAAAGATGTATGATAAGAAAATCACTTACAAAAAGAGGATTATTCCAACCCAAAATCATTCTTCTTCCTTTCCAAAATTCTTTATCTCCACTTTCAAATCTATTCTTTTGCCTTTAATGAAACAACCCCATTGTTTAGATGAAGAAATAGAGAAAGATTTATACATAAATAGAAAAAAAAACCATCTTCTTTATTCGTCTCAGTCGTTACTCTTCAACAGGAACTTTTCCTCTCGCGATTTCTTCTACCGGAATGAGCAAACTAACAATATCCCATGAGAGGAGTCGTTACCTTTCATCCTTATAAGCGATAATTCAATCGACGATACAATTCGAGCCGTTTAGGAAGTGTTACGTATATGAGCAGCCTCGCTTGCAGTCCGCCTGGACCGCGAGCTTCTATTAAACAGGGGGGCCGGTTCAGCTGAACTAGCTGAACCGGTCTTTACAATCTCCCCTTCTTACAAAAATTTTCGTCGTCGAAATTAAATGAAATATACATGAAAACATACCTTAATTGAATAAATGGGGATATTGAATTTTCATTTCCGCTTCTTTCTCCCAAGTGACATCCCTTTCTGATCTATGTTTCCATAGAATTTTCACAAAAGATATTGTTCCTTAGCTGTTTCACATCATATTCCAGTATTCGTTCAGGTTCTTCAACATACTTCAAACCAGGTTGCAAGTCAATTGATTTGGACTGGATTCTCTTTGACTCATCTGACACATACTTTCGAAGCACTGATATATGGAACACATTATGAATTCCTAGCATATGCACTAGTAGATCCAATCTGTAAGCCATATTTTCAATCCTCTCTATGATTTCAAAAGGACCTATGAATCTTGGACTCAATTTTTATATCTTTTCAAACCTTTGCACACCTTTCATTGGGCAGACTTTAAGAAAACAAATTCTCCTACTTCAAACTCAACTGGTCTATGTTTTGCATTATAATACTTTCATTGTCTATCATGTACTGTCTTTAGTCTGTCTCTGATCAATCTGATTTTGCTAGTAGCATCATCTATCAGTGTTCTGCACTTTATTCCATAAAGAGTCTCGTACGGTGCCATTCCAATACTAGATTAGAAACTATTATTATATACAAATTCAATCAACAATATATGCGTCTCTCAATTTCCTCAAAATCTAATACACATAATCGTAGTAAATCCTCTAAAGTCTAAATTGTCCTTTCTGATTGCCCATCTGTCTGAGGATAAAATGTTGTACTAAAAGTTAATCAAGTGCTCATAGCTTCATGAATTTTCTTCCACAATTTAGAAGTGAATCGAGCATCTCTATCAATTTTGGAATTCCATGCAATCTCACAATTTCATCAACATATATTTTGACCAACTTCCCCACTGGATCTATCTTCTTGATTTGTAAGAAATGAGCTGACTTAGTTAATCTGTCAATAACAACCCATATTGCATCTCTATTATGCCTTGACCTGGGTAATCCAATTATAAAATTCAGTGCAATGTCTTCCTATTTCTACTCAGGTATAGGTAAAGATTGTAGTTGACAACTTGGCTTTTGATGTTCTGCTTTAATCATCTGATAAGGAATATATTTTGCTACAAATTCTACAACATTCCTCTTTAATCCTGGACACCCAAATAATCCTTTCAATTCTTAATA